CCTCCGGTGCAGCAGTGCTGCCTGTTCATTCACAGAGCAGGCTGCCTTCAGGGAGGGGGATCGGTTACTCGGGCCCAGAGTAAATAGACCCTCACCCACTTTGTCCCTAGGAAAGTCTCTGCTTGCAGTCTCTTCTCTGAGATGTCCCTTCTCAGCCCGTGAGCTCACCTCTGTGTGCTTTTGATTTTGTTGTGGTTATACATTTTGTTTGTTTTTTGTTTCTGGTCTCATCTGTTTTCCTTACCCAATTTCTCTCAGTGGTGCTATAAAGGTCACTGCATGTGGAAGAATGCTAACCAGCTGAAGCAGGATGGCAACTGGGGAGCCTGGACAAAATTTGGCTCCTGCTCACGGACCTGTGGAACTGGAGTTCGCTTTCGAACACGCCAGTGCAACAATCCAATGTAGGTCTTCTGGCTAGGTGGTAGTCCCAGTCAGCTGGGAGTCGTTATAGGTGTCAGTTTAAATGGCATTTACGGTTCAGATGGAGTCTGCCAAAATTCACATTCTGTTCAAGCCCCTTCAAACATGGCTTTTTTCAGGGAGACAGGATCATTTTTGAAGAATCCAAGAATTTTCAGAGGCAAGCCTGTGGAAAACCATCCCAAGGATTTAGCCCATGTGTAAGAGAGTGAAGAGTACATAGTGTGTGAGCTCAGCAAGCTGCACGATATCTTAGACAATGTCTAATTGTAAATCGACTATTGACAGCATATATGTGCATATGTATTACTTCTGCATTTCAGCATATGCCTTGGGGAATGTGTAGGTAAGCACAGAGGTTATACTGCAGGTGTGTATCTGTGCAGTGTAACTGTTCTGTTTTCATTTCTGTCACTTCATGAGCCTTTTTTGCAAAATTGTCTCTTAAAATAGAGTATGAAATTTCACCTGGAGAGCCGAAAAATCCCCAGATCTAATGTCCAGAGAGTTTTATAATCTCTTCAATGTTTTCTCTTCACAGGCCCATTAATGGAGGTGAAGATTGTGCTGGTGTCAATTTTGAGTTTCAGCTTTGCAATACAGAGGAGTGTCCGAAGCACTTTGAGGACTTCAGAGCACAGCAATGTCAGCAACGCAATTCCCACTTTGAGTATCAGAACAGCAAGCACCACTGGCTGCCATATGAACACCCTGACTGTAAGTTCTGTTATTTGCCTTTATTACAAGTCAATCCTGGAATGTCCCAGAGCTTATGTGGGTCTTGTTCATCAGCCATGCAGAGACCAGAAATAAAAGCAGGGAAAAAAGGGTGGCCCCAGAAGGAAGGAACAGGTGCTATGTGAGACAGTTGTCATTTCCCCAACCCTAGGTCAGCTAGCTTCCCCTGACTTTCATCCTCCGCTTAGTGAGAACATGATGTAGCAAGAGGCTTGAGGCTCTCCGCTGTTGCTGGAATAGTTTGATGGGTGCTCATAGCATTTAATGCACTGCATTGTCGAGCTCTGGCTCTCTGCTGTTGGGGCAAAGTGTGGAAAGCTGTTGGTTGGGTCGTGAAAAACTTCCTGCCCTTTCTCCCGTACAGCTGTTCATCTACCTGAGTGCAAATGGTCAACATTTGATGGCAGCTACTGGAAGTATTAACAATGTTTTTCTAATGGCACTACTTGAGAAGTCCTTCTTAGTATTTTCACACTCTTTTACAGATCCATCCGCCTTGGCCCGATTCTGTAGGTCTTTGCTACTAACATTAATCTAACCCAGTAATTACCTTGAGCGACAAGGGCAGCTTCAAGCACAAAGACAGATTCCTAGTTCACTGAAAGGTGTTGCAGAGTTGCTGGCATTTCTTCCTCGGGTGTCTCCTGAGATAACCTTTACATAGGTGGCTAAGGAGTTAGATTCAGACAATAAGCAGGAAATATGTGTTCAGCTGGAATTTTCAAAAAAGGATACAGAAAGTTAGATCCAAATCCTCTGTGCTTTTCACCTGGCTTTAGCACCATCTTCTCACAGACTCATTTTTCTGCTGTCATTTTTCTGCATCCCTGTGATTTTGTAAACTCAGCCCTGTTCCAGATAGCATCAGAAAGAAAGCTGCTTTCAGAATAGTCAAGAACCCAGTCCTAGGAGCCTCTTTAGAAGGGAACTGATTTCTCTGAGAATATCTCAAAGTGATAGGCCCATAATTCACAGAAAAGCAAATTAGTTGCTTTTTTTCCCCCACAGCTCTCTGTTAAAGGTCCCTTCTACCTCTGTCGTATTCTCTTCACTCCTTTAGTAGGATATTTTTCTGAAACACACCTGGATTGCTGTTGATTTATGCAGTTAATTCTCTTTCCTTGCTACACAGCTAATAAGAGATGTCACCTGTACTGCCAATCCAAAGAAACCGGAGATGTTGCTTATATGAAACAGCTGGCACATGATGGGACTCGCTGTTCCTATAAAGATCCCTACAGCATTTGTGTTCGTGGAGAATGCGTGGTGAGTGACAGCTTCCCAAGGTCATCACTGAGTTTGAGCTGTGCCGTGTTACAGAACAACTCTGGTTAGAATCAATCAGAACAACTCAGTCGACAGTGCAGAGACAGACTTTGCAGATATTTCTAAATTAAGTATTTGCAGCATCATATTCCTCATAATTCCTTGAGATTTAAATTAAATTATAGCAACAGCACAGACCTGTTTCATGGTAACACTCCTCTTCAACTGATGATTTCATTTGCCTTTTTTGCACTTAGTATCGTGTCTGAAAAGAATTGTGTCTATTTTTCTGTCTTTCCCATCTTTCTTAGTCTTGCACTACAGTGAATATAAAGCAAGAATCAAGTCCTTTTTTTTCACATGAAAACTATTATCCAGCACCAGATTTGCAAGTAATTTTTATATAAATAAAGTAGATCAGTGTTGGGTGGTAATTTCTTCTATGCATTAATTTTGTGATGCTTCCCACCATAACTAAAACTGACAACCAATGACAAATCCTTCTCTTTTTCTTTTTTTCTCGTCCTTCTGCAGAAAGTGGGTTGTGACAAGGAAATTGGCTCCAATAAGGTTGAAGATAAGTGTGGCGTCTGTGGTGGGGATAACTCTCATTGCCGAACTGTGAAGGGAACCTTTACCCGCACTCCCAAAAAGCTTGGTAGGAATAGTATTTTTGTCTGTCTGGACATAGTTTCTGGTGTTTCTGGTATGCTTACCATTTTGCAGACCAGTCAGAAATGCAACCTACTTTAAGGCAGCAAAATACAAATTGTAAGCTGATGTGCAAAAGTGGTTTAGTCCCTGATAAAGAAATGACATCTTGTACTATTTCTGTCCTTTGAAGGACCTATTAGAAGAAAGCTTGATCAGTCAAGTGCATCGAGAAGTAGTCACCATGCAGAGCACGTTTAGTTCTTCTTTGTAAATGTTGAAGCTCAGCCAATGTTTGTGATAAGTGGGGGTACACTGAGTTTTGCTAAACAAGAATGAACTGTTCTTCTCATAGTGAAATACAGAAGAAATTGAGATACTTTGCCTGACACTAAGTATAGCATGCCTCTGTCTGTAGGAGGACTAAAGGAAACATTTTTTTATCCAGTTAAAGATGAAGCTTTTCACAAGTTTTTCCTCTCAAACCTAAACTTGAGAGTTTTAAATGGAAGTCTGAATTTCTGTGCATATGAAATGAGCATATGGACTTCCTGTCAAATTGTTTTTTTATCGTGCTTTATCACAAATCAGAGCCCTTCGGTCAAATAGACAAATTAAAAGTAAATTCAGCTGAATTCTGAACCAAATGTAAAAACGTTTTGGCAGGAATCCTCATTTCTCATACCTTTTGTGTGACTGAGAACCAGTGGAACCTATGATAGCATTCTGCTAGCTCAGAACAAAGAATGACCTGGTTAAAATTTTCAGACTGCACTCTGGGTTATTTTGCAACATTTTTCTTATCAATAATAAGTCAAGATCTCCTTGAACTCCTTCAGAAATTTCTATTGTGTCAGTTGTTTGTTAAGCCAGGGCAGTATTATCTTGTATATTTTGCAGTGACTATTTTGTATTTCAAAGCTTTCCTGTATTGCTTTTTTCTTTTTTGCAGTCTGGGGAAGCTACTCAGAGAAGTGTATCTCTGTATGACTGGTAGCAGTTATTTCAGGAGTGTCTGTCTGATAGAGCTAAGTGTTTTAAGACAGAACAGAGAAAGGGTAAGGGACAGATAATGTGAATATCTGCGTTAATAGTTTAGAGGCTGGTAACTGCTGCCATGAAGCAAGCTTTACTGCAGCATTAATATTTAAATTTGGACAGTAAGCAGACAAACTAAACTTGGACAAAGACAAGTTAATGTGTGACTGTAAATAAAATACATAAAATATTCTGCTGAAAATACTTATTAATTATTAGAAAGCAACTGGAAAAGTTTACTGATTGTTATTATCAAATTACAGTAGAGAACCTTTCTGAAAGGGATGGTTCCCTGGAGGCTGATGGATTGGACATGGAATAATGCAAGAATCATTCAGACTTTGGGAGTAATGGACTGAAGACTACACCTTGAGCCTCATATATAAGTCTCTGTATTTCTGGAGCTGGCAGCTGCTATGCTTTTCTTAAAACAAAAAAAAAAAAGTGATAAGCAGATTTAAGTGCTCAGCCTTCTAAGAGCATTTCTGATTTTTTCACTGAGAAAATGACTGGAATTTGGGGGGCAGAGAGGATATTCACGTCACAAGTTTGGATCCAGTCCAGTAAGAGTTTTTTATAATGAGTTGGTTTCTGTTGTCTATACCAATGGTTTCAGCTCCTCGCTCACAATCCATGTACTGCCTAAACCTGTAGTTTGGCTTACTCCCTGGGAGATTAACAGGGCAAACAAGAGGCCAGCAGAGGGCAAAATGTTTTACCGACGCCACCATGTTCTGGCTCAGCATTTCCGCCTGTCGGCCACTGAGAACCACTGCATTGTCTGACGGGGTGACGGCATGTGATTGAATGTTTGCGCAGTATTTTCAGTGTCTGGAAAGCACGACAATCCACAGTGACAGTCAGTTGTAAGAGATAGTTCAGGGAAGATTGCTGTTAATCAGCTATTTATTTGCAAATGTCTATGAAAGTGATAGAAGTGTTTATGAAACATTTATTGTTTTACCATAACTTTGGCAATCTAGTCATTAAAAAGACTAATTGACCTCTTCCAACAGGAAAACATTTAAGCAAGAGGTGCCAAAAAGAATTCAAGTTTCTGGAAAATGAAATCTGCAAGTATCCAACTTAAAATCACCTACCTGAATTTTCACTGACTTTCATTGACTATTAACATTTGCTAGATGTGTCTAATTCTGGTTTAAATGCACTTGAACACATAATGTAATTTATACTTTACACTTGTAAAGACCATCTGGCTGACAAACATAGTCAATGAAATAACAAGACTTGGCTCTCAGAGCACTAATTACAGACGTTCTATTTAAGGGAAGACAAGAGGAGCGTTTACATTGCCCAAAGGAGCTCGCAATATTTCCCTTTCTGAAACAAAGGAGTCTAAAAATACAATGGGTAAGTTTCAAGTGCTTGTAGAAAGAGAGGCATCCATGGCAACGCGAGAGTTCTTGCTGCAGTTCTCATCTCCATTCAGACATTGATAGATAATGCCAAATCAGGCAAAAGCTTTATGTTTCATATGCTCAAAAGATGATCAATGAAAAGATTGGCAAATGCTGTTTGTGCAGTCACTCATCAGCCAAGACCATGATTTTACATATTCCAGGCTCTTCTTTTTCTTCACTTATATTTTCCAAGGAGCTGTAGTATGTCAGGTGCGTGACAAACTACCGATGCGTTTGTTAGTCCCAGAATCTCCAGGACAAAACAGAAGTACTTAAATGCTACGTCTTGTGTTTGCAATGCACAAATAATAAAACTTGTCACATCTACACTGCTTCTATAGCAGGGCTGGATTACTCAGGAAGATTGCATAGCAGAGTACAAAACAGAGAGAAACTCACTCAGCTCTTGAAAAATGGATCTACAGAGATTTATCATAAGTAAATCTTCAGTTGTTTAAGAGAAAATAATAGAAATGTGAAAATACCACGCACTCAGAGTGCTTATGATGTTCTTGATCAAAACTTGATATAGAAGTACCTGTTGCCAGGTCTCTAGCAAGGATTTTAGTCTTCCTAATGACAATACTTAATGTTACACTAATTACCTGTGGTTTGAACTGATAAATAATTGAAATTTAGAATAAGAATCATTTTCTTTTGGAACAGCTTTTTACTTTTAGCTGTAGAGTTGAATTTAGTCCCATCACTTCAGCAGAAGAAATTTAATTGATGCATTTTATATTCACAGTTGTAAATAGTTTGGGTTAACTTCCATATAGACAAGCCTTTTCTGATGTGTAGTGACAATGCACTCTGTACTACGCCCACCTTTCTCCAGTCTTTGATGTCTCAGAAGTAAGCAGACACAGATAAGGCATTAACATCTAACATGACAGAAAGTAAACTCAAATCTAACAGCCTGGTGATGAGTGATTTGGAAAAAATAATTGGGAAGACTTTTAGTTTTCCCCCTTGTGTGCTGAGGAACATAGGAAACATATTTTTGCCTGAATTGTTAATTGGTATGGCCTATAGCAGTGTAGCTAGTCAAGTGACAAATAGATTTGTAACTGGTTTCTCTTCTTCCTGAAAGAGAAGAAACACAAGGAGGTCCTGTCAAATACGTTACAAAACTATTTGCTCGTTTTCATTCTGACATTGCTTCTCAGTTGATGACGGATGCCCTCTTCTGCAAGTAGAAGCTGGATCATGCAGTGAGCTTCTAACCATGGCTATTACTTTTTCTTTCCATCTCTGCTTTCTCCATTGACTACTACACATGCCAAAGGGTACCTTAAGATGTTTGATATCCCTCCTGGTGCTCGACATGTGTTTATCCAAGAAGACGAGGCTTCTCCTCACTTTCTTGGTAAGTGTTTCCTCAGGTTTGGCATTGAGGCATGATGAGAAGCACAGGGCAGTCATGCAGAAGAACATGAGAAATGAGATAACCACATAAAAGTGGTTTGGGTAAATATGTGCATTCAAAATTGCATGTTTAGGACTGAGTCCTACAGCATAAGCTCAGCAAACAAACATTTACTTCTCATTTGAATTCTTCAAAATATTAAACTGATCCCAGTTTGCATGTTTACTAACAAAAGATTGTCGTCACTCATGTTTAAATGGGCACTGCCAAGGTAAAAACTGTATGTTCTATTATGTGAATCAACTTCAGTATCTTTAATTATTCTTATTTGCTGCAGATTGTAAGCAACAGCTATTTTAATGGAAAGAAGATTGGATTGTGATATATTTGCAGTCTATTTCATTTCAGATTTTTCTCACATAGGACAGTTTATACTGTTGTCAATCGATTTGTATCTTACTGCTTACCATTTTCTAATGCTTAAGGGATTTTTAGCTCCCAGGAGAGGAGCGAGATCTTCCATGGATTTTAATGGCCTTTTAATCAGCTCCTCGTGTGCTAGGGCAGTGTCTGAGTTGTAAACCCTTCAGGCAGAGTTGGATTAGTTACTAAAAAGAAGCAGGAATAGAAAAGAAAGAAAAAAAGAAAAAAAAAAAGAAGAAATTGTTTCAACTGTGATAATGTCAAAGGGGGAAACTTGGCTTTTGAGATCCAAGAGGTTCATTTTGGACTAAACATAGCCTGATAGTAACTTTCAGAGAAGCATAGCTTTGCTTTTGCAGCAAGTGGCTTCATGAAGCTACTTGCTAGATACTGCAGAGCTCCTGTATTTGGATTACTATAATCACAGAAACTTGTAAGATTTATGCATAGGGTTTTTTTTTATCATGTTTTATGGTGCATTGGAAAAAGTTGTACCAAAGAAAAAATGAGAGTCCATCCTTCAGATTTCTAATGTATTGGCTTCTAATTGGAGGATAATAATAATAATAATCCCCACATTACGTGACTTTTAAGGTGTGGTGCAGGAACCCAAAACCAAGTCATATTTCCTAGGGGTTCAGATGCCACAGTTCTTTGCTTACTGATTTTAGCATCTGGCACATACATATGTATGCAAAAGAAACTAAAATGTGATGAAAAAGTTGTCATTTTCATAATCGGAGGAAAATAAGAAATGTACTTGAAGTCTCCTGAGGTGTCTGTTATACTAATAGGCATTCCCAGTAATACTGATTTTGGTCTTATGCAAATAAGGAAGATGGGTGATCTGAAGATTTTACCTGAGTTCCTTGCTACTACTCGTGCTTCTTGGCAACTAAGCTAGTATGGGAAATGTGCACATTACATAGGAAGAGGTGCTTCAGTGTATCTCTAGTTCTGTATCTAATTCATGTGGATAAGGAGGTACAAAACTCAAGTAAATGTGAGAATGCATCTGTCATCAAACTGGAATCTGGAGGCTGCATGAGATGGCCTTGGAGGGCCTTTCTCTGAGCCATTTCATCTACAGCACCTGCTAGTGTGGTGTGTTTTTTTGCAAAAGACCTTCTGTAATAATTCCTGCCAGGGTTCACATAGGCCACCATGGTTGCTGACGATACAATGGGAGGCACAACTAGCGCTGTTTTCAATCCTTTTAGCAATTAAGAACCAGGCTACGGGACACTATATTCTGAATGGGAAAGGGGAGGCGGCCAGATCCCGATCTTTCATCGACCTGGGCGTGGAGTGGGAGTACAACATAGAAGACGACATAGAAACTCTCCACACTGATGGGCCCTTGCACGATGCAGTGGTTGTGCTGGTAGGTTACCTGTCAAGTAGCGGGAATATGGTGGGTTTGTCTTTTATAAAAAGTGCATGCCCATCATGGAGCTTGTGCTGACAAAACACTGCTGTGTAATGCCTCTCTGAAAGACATGTGCCGATGAGGTGGCTGATAGCCTGAAGCCCTTTTCTCATTAGCTGTTACCCTCTCTTGTAAACTGCTGCCTGTTCCTGCAACGGTACTATGTCAATCAGAAGCCAAATATTGCACTGTCAGACATCAGTGGGACACTTTCAGTTAACCAAAAGAGGGCATTGCATATTAAACTCTGTCTGAGACCAGCCCTACACTTCAGCCAAGTAAATGGTGTAGCCACACCATCCTTTCGTCCTAGGTGACAGTGTCCTACTTGGCCAGCTTAGAATGCTAGCCTAGAAATGTATCTCATTTTAAACAGCTCTGTGTTCTGACTATGAATACAAAATCCAATTTTTTTTCACCCAATGAGTTAAGTAGCAGTTTCCATGTTTCCCCTAAGAGCCAGACCTTGGTTTCTTTACAAACCTTGGTATTTCTTTACTTTGCAAAGGAATAAATAATAGCTCTGGTTTTGTACCACTGTTTACATTTGATTATTAATAGATCATTCCTCGGGAAAATGACACAAGATCTAGCCTGACTTACAAATACATCATTCACGAGGATTCAGTATCAACTATCAACAGCAACAATGTCCTACAGGAAGAAATAGATACTTTTGAGTGGGCGTTAAAGAGTTGGTCGCAGTGCTCCAAACCCTGTGGTGGAGGTAAACAGATGCTGTAGCACCTTCTAATAACGAATGACAGATTACCAAAAGTGGAAAAGTAAAAGGTGGGGGTAGTGAATGCTTTAGAAATCTTGGCCTTCCTTTTTTAAAAAGCAGTTTGTTATTTTGGGTGCATAGCTTAAAATATCTTAAGTGCCTGATTATTCAAAAGTGTCACACTTCCAGCCTAGAAAGAAGTTCTTTTTAAGTGTTTAAATTCGGTACCAAAGCCACTTTGGAATTACAGACTCATACATTTATGCTACTTGGCGTTCACTTTACTTATGTACATTACACTTATGCAAAGAATGGGGAATGCAAATGTCAAAATTACTTTAACTCTTACATACAGCAGTCAAGAAGGTGATGTGTTCTGGTAACAAAAACACTAAAACAAGACTGGGGTTCATTCCCAGGTTAGCTGGTGACTTGCTGCTTGATGTTAAGGAGGTAATTTCTCCCCTCTCTATGCCATGATTTATGTGTAATGCAGAAGTTAGACTAAGCAGTCATAACTGTCCCTTCTAGCCTTGAAAACCTATCACAGTGTCACACTATGTATAGCCTCCACAGAGCACTGTGTGGCAATCTTGTGCCTGACAACTGAACAAATCGTGAGCATGTTTAAATACTTCATACATATCTGTCATGTACAACCATTTAATAGGCCATAAAACTTACATTTAAACCAAAAATTCTAACAAGGACCTGTTTTTCCTGATTTTTCTAAAATATTTTCCAGGGTTCCAATATACCAAATATGGGTGCCGCAGGAAAAGTGATAACAAAATGGTTCATCGCAGCTTCTGTGAAGCCAGCAAAAAGCCAAAGCCCATTCGCAGAATGTGCAATCTTCAAGAATGCACACAGCCTCTGTAAGTATGTCTCACATGAAGATATAAATGATTGCTCCTTGTGGTACATGTGGAAGTTAACCCAAGCCAAATTTGGTAGGATGTTGACAGCTTTCTAGGCTGGAGTTCCTGTATTACGGATGTTTTCTTTTCTACCTGTGTAAGAATAGTTACTGATTTTATTGAGTGGTTTAATCACAAATATACTGTATACTGATCTGGCAGCAGTATGGATAACAGGTAAATTTGTGATGGTATCTTACTGCTTTTTATTTCCCAGCTGGGCAGCAGATGAGTGGGAATACTGCACAAAAACCTGTGGGAATTCAGGCTACCAGATCCGTACTGTGCGTTGCATTCAACCCCTTCATGACGGTGCAAACCGCTCTGTCCATTTCAAGTACTGTAGTGGGGATCGCCCGGAGAGCCGCAGGCCGTGCAACCGCATACCATGCCCTGCACAGTGGAAAGCTGGACCCTGGTCTGAGGTAGGCGAGCAGCAATTGTGAGGGAGTGACGTACCTTTGCTAACATCTCATGCCTCCAAAGTCAGATCTGTGCCTTGGCTGGAAGTTCTGGACTGCACCAGACAGTTTCCCAAAACCTGAAAATCTGCAGCAGATAATGCCTTCCAGCTTCACGGGATTCTGTAGCTCTCCAGACTTCTCCAGAAACCAGCAAGGAAAATACAATATTCACAATATCAGATACACAATCCTGCAAAACAAATGTTGAAATTTTGCTTGTTTTTCTCCAAGTTTCCACCTTCTGAATTCCCCAATTCTGAGGACAGCATAACATTTTTTACTGCCTTGGACTGTTTTGGAATCACAGAGTTTCTGCAGGTGTTGATATTGTAATAATGACTTAGGAACAAACAGCTGAACCCTACAGCTAACTCTGAACACTGAGTTTTCTATGCCCTTTGTATTCTCTGTATGTTTCATTGTCAAGATCAGGTATCGGCTGCAGGAAGAATAGGTAGCAAAATTGATAATATGCTCTAATAATATTTAATATTTAATAATTAATAATATTTAATATGTAATAATATAATTTAATAACATTTAACATTATAGAAGGAAAGAACCAAGGAAAATACTATCCTCCTTCTCTGCATATTTCTCCATAATGTCAGCCTTCACTAAAGTCTGCTTTCAAAACAAATTGCTGGAAAGTGTAGCCTGACCTGAAAGCCAACCTTGGGTTATTTTAGACACAATAATTTTTGCACATTGCTGTGAATAGCTAAATGTCCCTAATTGTCTTGTGTCTGTTTTGTAGTGTTCTGTGACCTGCGGTGAGGGAACTGAGACCCGGCAGATCATGTGCCGTGCTGGTGACCAGTGCAATGGAGAAAAGCCGGAATCAGTGAGGGTTTGTAAACTCGCTCCGTGTAATGGTAAGAGAATATCTTAAAATTACTGCAATAGATGAGGGTAACGATTCCTGACTCAGTGCAGCCTGTCTAGATAGCACAGTGCTGAGCAGAGATGTTAGACACAGATTTCATCCTTGAATAAACTCCAGTGAAAAAAGAAAGACCTATATTTAGGTCTAAATAAAAGCTAAACTTCCTGTGAACTTTCTGTGTTAATGCATACAGGTGTCTAAGACAAGGCAGAGTCTACGCTTATGAACAGTAGTGTGCACACCAAACTTGTACTCTACTGTATTTTAAAGATGTTACACTGTCAGGTGACAACCACACAACACCATTCATCTGTTGAATGCTAGAAAATACACCCTCCCTTGGAGATTCTCCTGCCTTTGTCCAGCTAAAGTCACGCTGTTGTTTAGTCCAGCACATTGTTGGTTGCTTCTTGCACAGCAGGGTCCCTCCTGAAAACATGCTGAAATAGGGGGTTTAAATATGTTAGCCTAAGTTGCATTTGCAAAAATTTGTGCTAGAGGTGAAGGTCAATCCAAAGTAAACTCTGCTCAACCTCTAAAACCCGGAATAAGCCCTGCCAATTGAGGAAATGAAAAAAAAAAGTAAAAATGGAACCACAGAGAATTAATAAGGTTCCTGGAAATCTCATTACATTGTTCTCATAGAATTTTTTTAACAGATTTTTAAGCTTTTTATGACAACAAAGCCTTTCTTCCTTTGGATGCATGACTCTTTAAGATTTGGGGTTTATTTGATTTTAAATCCTTCATGGTAGTCCTAACACTCTGATCACTAGCTGGTAGAAAAAATAGAGTAAGAGTTCTTAGAATGTGCAGTGTGTTCTCCCACAGAGTGAATCTAACTGCTTCCCACAAGTCTGGTAAAGGTGTCTGCTTTTGCTTTTACTTGTCTTCTGCCAGTGAAAGAACTCAGAGCAGAAAACAATTCCGGGAGCAATGAATAGTTATAAAACATTGTATCCACTAGGTGGGAGCAAATCCCTATCCATGACTCTATAAGCACTAGTGATAAAAATATTTCCAAAACTGAAAGAAATAAGAGCTACATCTAGCAAAACTATTCAGATAGTTTTGATCTTGTGCTGTAAGCATCGCCTTAAAGAATCTGTACTTTAAGCATCAGTTGGGATTTTCTTGAATAGCCAGTGTTAATTTCCTACCTATCAAAATTAAGCAGCACACAATCTTTTTTCTCTGTGTGAGTTCTATGTCTCTCTCACCCTAAGTAATACTCAAGAGAGCCAAGTGCCACTGACCTAGGATCCACTTATATGGGATGTAAGCAATAGATGGCCTTATACAAGCCCTTTACAAATTGACGTTGAATCACATTGGGTAATACTCACTGTATTTTTACAGTTCTGGGTGTTTAATATGCACCCCATCTCAGATGCCGCAGTGAATGAAGGATTTCTGTGGTCACATGTAGGGGGTGCCTAACAAGGTTCTGAAACCCTAGGTACATTTCATAAAGAGAGAAGACAGAGCAACGCATTGCAACAGCTGTTTAAAAAAATGTGAACTAACGGCCAGTGATCTATCTGGCTTTGATGCAGCAAACCAATAGCGTGACCTGGGCTTTATGAAAATGCCGTGAACTACAAGGGCATGCAGAGCTACACCAGCCAAGTCCCTCATACCTTTGACGAAACCACAGGGTCCCCATGGACTCTGCCCCTCCACCACGCTACACCTGCCTCCTCTCATTGAGCTCAAACCTCTCTGCTTTGCTCAGGAGTTTGGGCCATAACTTTTACCAAGCAGTAAGTAGCCGTCAGTATTCTTTCAGACCAAATAATCTCTCTTTTTTCCCACGCTTTTCGGATGTGGTTTTTACCACTTTCAATGTTTTGGGGGAATACAGCTAATATATCAATAGTATTCTGTAATACTTATGTAGATAAATTCTTTACACATGGTCACGTGTGGCATTCCTTTACTGTTACATATGTATAGCCTTGATTACTATTTTGATTTTCAGGGCTTTAGACTTAGCAAAACATTAGTCATGTCGTTTTGACAAATGATTTACTACCTACATGCAAGATTGCTGAGAGTTTAATCTTAATGGAGTTGTCATGAACATTTGCCGCAGTTGGTGTGATTTCTTTTGTGCTATGTGGCATATTAGCATTTGTCTTCCATTTCATGAAAAAACATATGTCTGCATACAGGAGAAGAGCAACCAGCTCTTCCACCATACACCTTGGTGGAGCTGAGTCTCATAGTGTGGAAAAATGAGGACACCTCCCATAGATATTTCACTTAAACTTTATATGTCTCTGTGATTAGAAGAAAACAGGAGGCAAGATTTTATCCTGCAGGTCTATAGCAATAATCTGATGAGCAGTCATGTTTCTGTGGCTGTACCAGATTAGAAGAATGGATTTTGTGGTACTTAGACAAATAGATGAGCTCCACATAAGAACAGACCCTTGAAAAGTCTCTATATGAGCTATCCCTGCTTTGCAACACAAGATACAGAATGAAGAAGAAAGCACCTGTTGTTTTAAATTTTAGTCCCTAAATACCAACTTTCAGCGAGATTTCTCAATGGTATGCTGTCAGCAAGCAGTGAACTTAGAGTTACAGTGATGCCTTCTGTAAGGGATGCGTCAATTCTAAAATCTAACATGAAAATTTTTCATTTGATTTAAATTATATTCTAGTAGCCTCATCTTCTTTAGAATCCCTAGGGAGCCAATACACTTTCTTGTGTCTTCTACTCTTAGTTACCGCGAAGCAAGTAACAAATTGTGATAAGGAGAATTTTTACCATGAACATCAGCGGAAGGATACAAGCACTTACATACTGAATAGGAAGTGGTTGACTAGGTTGTGCAGAATTAACCTAAATAAAAAAAGGGGGGGATTATGTAAGTATACAGCTTCAAGATTGTACTTATGGAACCTACTGAAAGTAGATAAGTACAAAACCAAATCTTTGCACTAGCACTTGAGTCACGAAATCTAAACCATCACAAACTGGTATCACAAAAATTAACCATGAGAGAAAAGGACTAAATAAGATACATTGTCACTATGGAAAGGCAAAAATAATTGTTTGGTACTTTCTTTTTTGGTTTCTCACTTCAGGTGATACTATTTGCTATATATTGACATAAATCATAGTGTGTTAACAAGATGACTGCCATAATTTTCCAGATCAGGTGCTTTCATTTACACAGAAGCATAAAGATTGTTCTATATGTGATGCAAAGATTTGTGTTTCAATATTAGCTTTTCTAGTTTAGATTAATTATAAATATAGCCCTTGAATTTCCCATGCTA